GGGTTCCCGGACCCTGCCTCCGCGCCCCACCACACCCACTCCTCCAGCACAGGCCTGGGCTCTGGGCGTTTGTACCCCACCCCGCCCTCCTGGTAAGCGCTCCTCGGGGCTAAGCTGTTGCTACTGACTCGTCCCTGGAAAGTGGGCGATGTCCACAGGCCTGGGGATCACCCTGGGGGTGAGGCATTCCAGCCTCACTGCCTACCGCTCTTAACTGGAGGACCCCTATGTTGGGCAGTAAGAAGGAGGGTGTAAGCCACTGGAAAGTAGCTCTGAAGTTTAAGAAATGCCTTATTGCATGGCAGGATATGTCCCCATGAACATATATATGCGTGCGTTCATATTCTAAAAACTGGAACTACCTTTTTTTAGTTTCTTTGTTTTGTTTATAGGGAATCCCAGCAAGTTCCTTTTGCTAAAAGCACTGAAGGTTTTCACCAGTCATATTAGTTTGCTCAGATGCTAGGTCTAAAAGATACTTAAAAGGCTGCCCCTTTCATATCTGAAGGTTTTCATGGGAATATTCTAATCCTGAGAGTGTTTACTCTTGCTGGATGTTTATTTTCTTTTGGTTGATGACAGAAGAGGCATAAACATTGACATGAGGTGTCCTTTATAGATCAGTGAGAAATAGGCCTCAAGATGTTTTGAACCTATTAATTGCTGATACTAAATTAGTCCAGATTTTAGTAATTCAAAAGCTTGACTGGGAGCTGAACCATGTTACCCAACCAGTTTTTCAAACTAGAATGAAAGCTAAAGCAGCTGCACTAGTGTTATGTCGTCTGATCCCTCATTCAATTTAAAAATGGTAGGTATGTTTTGGCATATAATAACTCACAAATGTCAGTCATGGGTTTTTTGAGCCATTGCTCCCCTGGGATTATCCTGGGTTCAGTCCACTAAGGAGCAGATTATTTAGCAATGTGTAATCCTTTAAAAAAATGTCTTATTGTTTGGCTGATGAACTATAGAGCATGCCCACTAATTCTGAGGTTGATAGGAAGTTGAAAGGGTTAGGTGACTTAGATAGTTCAATTCATAGTTATTTGGCACGATGACTAGAGAAAAAGTGTAACAGGAGCCCAGTGCCTTCTTTTTTATAGTTTTCACGCTTTAAAACCTAACACTTTAGGAACACCTTAATGATTAGGGTTGTTTTGTTTTTAGGTAGAAATTAAAAGAAAAGTAGGATACCTAGAACATTCTCATATGGAAAAGTAAAACCTTTTGAAGAAAGAAAAAACAGTTGTAGTTGTGTGTGTGTGTGTGTGTGTGTGTGTGTGTGTAAGAGAAGGTTGAAGAGAAGAGAAGGTTGAAGAGTGAATGGTCTTTTAGAAATTCAAAAAATCCTGCTCAGATGGGAATAAGAGTTTTAAGTTAAACAGAAAGGAAAACTTTCTGCTCATGCATACTTTAATACAAATTGGATTGTACTGATAAAGGGAATTTATTTTTTGGACTTTGTAAAGAGTAATGTATCCACCAATTTGGTAATATTTATTTCGTAATTTGGTCTGAAGGTTAGGGAATGTGAATTAGATAATAGGATTCCTTCCTATTCTGTGATGTACAGTTGCCCCTCTGGATCATTAAGTACATAGTTTATTGATAAAAAATACTCAGGATTTTATTTGTCTTCTTCCCTTCCAAATTAGAAATTATCAGAGTAATTCATTTTTCCATTTTGTAAATAATAGAGACTTCTCTCTTACCCATTTGTTCTCTTTCTCCTCTGCCTTTTCTTCAGTGGAAGCTGACATTTTACTGATGGTTTATCAGTCTGTGTATCCTGCTGGGAAGTAGATTGAGATTTAAGAAAAGCAACTTACCATTGGAATGAATGGGTAATCAGAGACTTGCTACGAAGTTCTAATTTTTTTTAAGTGCTTAATTTGACAGTGGTTTGTTTACCTACTGTTCAGCTGACTCAAAATGAATTATTATGCAAAGAACTGACTTTCCAGTTCATTTTAATGTTATGCTAGGTTTCAAACAGGCTGGAAAATTTTTAATTTTTCATGGAATCTTATAGACTTTAAAGCATATGTGCTATAGATAAAGAAAATTGTGTTTTTAATGTGTAAATTATACAGCATACATGGCAACTCTTCCCATATAGTGTATTAGCCTGACTGTATTAAATATACTGCAGGAAAAAAGTATATAGAATTTCTGACTCCTATATCACAACTCCATCCCCGATCAAACAGCATTACTGCTAATAGCTCTTAGTTGTTTCCTAATAAGAGACATTGTTATTATTAAACTAGTAATCTTTGATCAGTCCTCCATTTTAGCTGAAAAAATATTAACCATTTATTTGTGTGATTTTTTAAAGTGTCAATATTTAACTGAAAACTGTGGTAAATACTGTAAAACAAACAAAATTTTCAGTGTCACCAGCTATTCCTTATGTCCTTAGAATTGGTTTAAAAGGGATATGTTATATATTTTACTCTCAGTATGTTTAGAAAATTAATAATTGCCTCTAGAACCTGTTTTTCTTCCTCACGCCATTGATTTTCAGATTTTGAACTGTGATGTCGTATTTTAAATTTATATTTTATTTCACCTGCTCCCTCTACTCTTTGCGTTTTTTTCTACCTCTCTTGTGTTTTTTTTTTTCTTCTCTTGTTCACTACCCCACCCCTTGTCCTACTAGCCTTCCCCCGCCTTTTTTGGTTAAATAATTTATAAATAGCTTTATGTTGCTAGTTTTTATGGATATTTTGTGACACTCCTTTTTAGAGAATTCTTTTGTGTATTACCAAGGCAAAGAAGGTAATATGTTGTAAAGTATTTCATAGGAGTTCCAGGGAACCCTGTGATAGTGAGTGACAAGCTGTGACCCAGTGTATTCCTAAAAATAGAGAGGTGCCCGCTTGAATGGGCATTTTTGCTTCTTCTCATTGCCAGCTAGTGATGCTTCTCCTGATTAATCTTTGGCATTACAGTGACTGGAATGCAGCTTCAGGGAATAAGCACAAAGTAGTTCAATGCACTTATACTCTCAAAAAGAGCATAGCACAGCAAATACACTCTTGCAGAAAAATAAGAAAAAAAAGTAAGCAATATTAGTCCTGAGCCTGTGTTGATTTCTCTATTAATGAGAAAGAAAATGATTTTCCAAATGTGCAGCGCTAACCCTTTAAATTGTCATTTTTGGTCCAATTCCTACACAGCAACAATAAAATTAATACTTTATTCTGTGTAGAGCATACAATATTTTTTATTGATTCATGTGCCTAAGGTTTTCTGCATACTTTTTAATGTGTTAATGATCATTGATTTTAAATAAATGCTTTAAAAAAGATGGGAATTGTGAAAGTTTGTGTCCAACATAGTCTCATATGCATATCCAAATCTCAGTGTAGTATATGTTTAGTTTTATGTATCACAAATGGCAGTTGATCTCAAGTATATCAGCAAAATCTTATCAAATGGAAATATTCCAAGAAAGAAACACATTGGAGTCTACTATGTGTCTATTTTAAATAGGTTGAAAAAAGCCTGTCTTCAATCAAATATAAAAATACTATTTCTCATGCCTGTTATTATATTAAAATCTTCCTTAGAGTCAAGTTTTGCCACGGTTTTGAAGACCGCTATTTGACCCGATTTTTTTTTCAAGTTGTACAAAAAAATTACTTTAGCCATCAATGTTACTGTGTAACTTAAAGTTGACCCAGTGATTTAAGCTCATCCAGGAGTATCTACAGCTAAATTAATGAATATTCTATGTTTGCTTATTTGTGAAAAGAATATAGAATTACCTCATAATTACTTGGAGGTAATGAATTAGTGCTTGTAAAGTGCTTCGAGCTAAAATTTATACCAGCCGTATCTTTAGGTTTAAAAATTCCTAGGCTCACACAATTATCATGTTCCCCAAACAGATGAAACTTGAGCTCTTAGGTAGAGTCAATACTTAACTCCTATTTTTATAATTTGATAATTTGTTGACATTGCTAAAGAGTACTATGCAGCTTGTATCATGACAAATACATGGGTGCATGATTAATACGTATTGACATTGGGAAATAATGTATTCATTTGTTTTTTAGGTATTCCAACCTTATTATATGGACTTGGCTCCTGGTTATTTGCTAGAGTCACAGAGACTGTGCATACCAGATACGGACCAATAACAGTTTATTTTCTAAATAAAGAAGATGAAGGTGCCATGTATTAAAAGTGTACATTGGAGAACATAAATATTAGTGGATTTTCTCTTGTGTGTATGTGCAATATTTATTTTTGATCCTTTTAAAATAAAACTTTTGCAAATACTTTGTTCTTTTCTATGGTGTCTGGTGCTTTAAGATGAATCATGGCCCTCCAGAGGCAAAGCTTTTCCTACATGGTTATATATCACATACTCTGCTTAGCCCATGGGAACTAGGAACACATGATGCTTATACCAACTTTTTTCCTAGAACTAGATTAAACTACAGTTAAAAATAATTATAACATATATAGATTCTATAGTTAGGTATTAACAAATTCCCTTTGAAGAGAAAATAATAGACACCCACACAAAGAAGAAAGGGGAAAATCTTTTATATGACATTGGAAAAGTAGGATATATTGTGAAGATAATATAATATTATTGGTAAATCCAAAATTGATGAGAATTCTATTTGCAGTCTGAAATCTAAACCACTTAGCTGCCAGGATTTTAAATGGAAATTTATTAAAGCCCTTGTACCATTTACCTGGATAAGAGGTAAACTTTTTTTAAAAAAATTTTAAATTGAATGTATTGGGGTGACACTGGTTAATAAAATTATGTAGGTTTCAGGTGTATATTGTATTGTGTGTTCACCACCCCATGTCAAGTTTCCTTCCATCACCATTTATTCCTGCTTTACCCTCTTCTACCTCCCCCCAATTCCCTTTCCCCCTGGTAATCACCATACTGAACTCTCTGAGTTGTTTATGTTTATTTTCTTTGCTTCATCCCTTCACCATTTCCACCCAGCCACCACCCGCTCCCCTCTGACAGCTGTCAGTCTGTTCTCTGTATCTAAGAGTTTGTTTCTATTTTGTTTGTTAGTTTATTTTCTTCCTAGAGGCCCGATGCCTGAAAATTCGTGCAAGAGTAGGCCTTCCTTCCCCCGGCTTCCCTCTGGCACCCGAGACCCGGGCTTTCTGCACAGCCCTGGATTTGTCCGGAAGGTCGTCCAGTCTAATTAGCATATTACCCTTTTATTATTATAGATTGCCTAAAGAATCCAATACCAACTATAATAATAACACTGGTTAATGTAAATGCAGCAAGATGAATGAAATGAAGACTTATTAAAAGTTAAAATAGCATGCTGATAAAGCTGTAAGGACAATTAAGATCCAGAAAGACCCAGAAAAAATAAATTTGATAACTGTTTATAAAAGCAATTAGCTGAAATGGTACATATCTATAGACTTATTGGCGATGGGAAGTGGGCTGAAATTTTAAAGACCTGATGGCAGTTTTGCATTATAATTTTATTAAGTTAATTGCATTTTTGAAAGCAAAGTCATTTAAAAAATTTATCCTTGGGGGTAGTTACAGAATACCCAGATGAATGGTAAATTTCAGAAATTTGGAGTAATTTAGGGAGAACTAAGTAGAACTATTTAATTTCTAAACCAATGGATGTTTAAGATTTATGATCTCTCCCATAATTACAAACATACATTATATATATCATTTTATGTTAATGTGTTGTTGATACTCTACAACATCTACACATTTCTGCAAAATATTTTATAAAATTCAATCTAAACAACATTTGGGTGCTTGCTTCTGGCAAATCAGGAGAGAAAGTGAGTGGAAGTGATTGAGGGGAAAGCACCAGAATAATGAGGTAATATGAACTGGCTTCGTTAAAGGTAGTCATTTTAAGTAAGCTACAGAGAGTGAAGTGTTCTTAAATATAGGTACTGTTCACTTGTCTAAAAGCAATTCTAAGTAACACTTTAATCAAAGAAATATTTATGCCAGTATAGTTGGTCCAGAAGAATATACTTGACACTAGTTAAATGAATGGCTTACACAAAGGAGATAGTGTTACATTAAGCTTCATTAATAATAAAACTGACTATTAGCATTTTGCATGGAAGGCTAGAACTGATTTTCTCTGTAATGGGCCACATTAAATAACTATAGCTCATAAGTTTTAAGTCAAATACTGCTCATTCATTGCTGCTGGTCTTGTCAATACTTGTTGTAAAGGTTTGGTCCCAAAACAAGGCTGATAAAATGGTTTTTAATTACCAAACCATAAATACAGCTTTTCAGTTAGAGTTGCACTTCTTTTCACACTGGCCTGTTTGATTTCTGATAATTTGTACTGCTGACTCTGCTTACCTGTTTTCCAATAGCGATAGTCAGTGTGACTTCTTGTCCATATGGTGATAGGTAAGTCTCCTTGGAGAACATCTTTGACAAACTACCCTATTGATCTCTGTAATTCTCTGCTGCTTGCAGCATTAAATAGAGCCATGATTTCTTGTCTGCTGTGCTCACTGTGTAACAATTAAGCAAATATAATATTTTCTTGTATTACATGAAAATCAATAGACCTCTTGCTCTCGTGGAGTTGATCATGGTGAAGGATGAACTCAGCGATGGCTAAGGGCATGGTTCAAATATTAAAATAGCATTCATTGGATTTATGAAGTCTTGTGGTGAACCTTATAGTCTGAAAAAATGCTCTGCATTGAACAGGAACGGTTTAACTTTTTTCTTTAAATTTGGATATTACATTGAAACATTGTGGCCTAAAAGGGATAAAGTATAAATGCTGGAAGTCAGGAGATTGATTCTATGTTTAGTATCAATGCTATCTTTTAACCTCAGGTTAATAACTACTCTTCCTTTGTGTTTTCCTTTTTCCTCCTGTAATCTGAGAAGGACAAAACAAGAAACCTTTCTACCTTAAAATGTATCATGAATATGCTTGTAAGCAAATGTTGTTTTACTTTTATTTCAGTAAAAGCTGTTGTCCTCATTTTCTATTCCATATATATTTATGTTTAGAAGGATTCATTAATAAAAATATTTTTTAAAACAATGTCAGAGAAAGGAAGAAGACACATTAATGATGCCTGTGTGTGTCTGTGAACATCCTGGATGTGCCCAAGGCGGCAAGCAGGGGCCAGGTGGGCCCTAGTCTTCTGGATGTCAGGAGTTTTCTTAATGAAGAAACCAAAGACAGCTTTTTTGCCTATACCTCTTTAATGGGATTTTGCCTTTAAAATAATATAGGCAAAACTATTTTTAAATAAAGGTGCATTTTTAATGTAAAATCTTGTATCTCTTCTATTGTTATTTCTATACAAATCAATTATTCGGTATTGGAAGAAACTTCTGGTCATAATTCTTAGTTCCTTTGTAAGTGATGAACCACCATAAAGATGAAGTAACAGAGTTGGGAGCATGACAGAAGTTGCTAATACAAAAATCCCTGGTTTCTCAGTGCTGATATCTTAACATACCAAATTATACAAATAGTTATAATTTCATTCCATATTTAGTCACCATTATTACTTTTGTTGTTGTCCATCGTTGCCTGAGAATATTTTTCCATTGATTTTTACAGAGAGTGGGAGGGAGGGGAAGAGAGAGAGAAACATCTATGTGAGAGAGACACATCGATTGGTTGCCTCCTGCGTGTGCCCTGACTGGACCTGCGATGGAACCTGCAACCCAGGTATGTGCCCTCGTTTGGGAATCGAACCTGTGATCCTTTGGTGCATGGGCTGACGCTCTGACCACTGAGAAACCTGTCAAGGCTATTTTATTGACTTCAGTAAAAATTGAAACAATTTTAATTCTTTTTTTAAAAAACATCTCCTTATTTATTTCAGAGAGGGAGAGAGAGAGAGAGAGAGAGAGAGAGAGAGAGAGAGAGAGAGAGAGAAACATAAATGATGAGAGAGAATCATTGATCGGCTGCCTCCTGTACACCCCCGACTGGAAATGAGCCCGCAACCCTCGCATGTACCCTTGACCGGAATCGAACTCGGGACCCTTTGGGCCACAGGCCAATGCTCTATCCACTGAGCCAAACTGGCTAGGGCTAAATTTAATTCTTAAAAGCCATATGTATCTCTTTTTAAATATACATTTTGTTTTGTGTCATATTTATATTCACTTAAAACTATAATCACAGAACACCCAGAATTCTTCATGAAATAACCATTAAAGAATGAGTGATGTTTGAATGAGTGGGGTGACATACAGAAAAGGATCTTGATTTCATTTCCTTTAAAAGCTAATGCAGATAACCGAAACCTTATCCTAAAGTTACCGTATCAGGTATCTACTTTTTTTCAGCACTTGCTATTCAGACTGTAATGACATTTGGGGGCATCTTAACCTAAACAAGTACTTAGCATTACATCTCACCTGGGTCAACAGTCTAGGGTATCAAAGTTAAACTGTGTTACTGTAAATTAATGGAAAATGTAACTGCATTTTGCTGGAAGATCAATGTCCAATAAAGGCTGCACAATCAAATCTTGTTGCAATGATTGAGGTCTTTAATTGCCTTTCAAAGATAAGGTGGTAATCAACACAGCTTTAACTGATCTTTTTTACTAGTTCAATTACATGCTAATGACTAGTGCCAAGACAGAATCTTTAACTACTTATACTTATTAAATCTTATGTTAGTAATGAAAAATTACTTTAGCTACACAATCGATAGAACACAAATCTTAATTACTATATTTCACTTTTTACTATTTCATGTGCTTGACAAATATTTCACAAGAGCTTTCCCAACAATAAGAAGTGTTATTGGTAGTGACCGAAGTCCACAGAATATTTTTCTAATAGAAAGTGGAAATCAGACGTTGAGAAATTGTTTTTCTTTAAATGAAAATGTGGCTAAAATAGTTTCCACTGACACAAGTTTGGCCATCCAGCTACTTCTCAGAACTCTGTTCTGCTAATGGAGAGTGCATTTAATACAACTGGGATAAAATAAATCCAAATTGGTTTTACTAAGAGTATCTCTAAAAGTTCAGTTTTCTTTCTAGTAAAGAAATTGATTTCATACAGAACCTACTATACAATTCTCTTATTTTGGGAAAGTGTAGAAGTTCATAAAGGCAAATAATAAAAGAATTTTAAAAAGGTACTTCATCAATATTAAAAACTTTTACACTTCAAAGAACACTATTAAGAAAATGAAAAAAATTGACAGAATGGGAGAAAATAATTTGCAAATTATGTATCTAATAAAATGGATTTGAACAGACATTTCTCCATAGAATTTATACAAATGGCTACCAAGCACAT